AATAGCAAGCAACTTCTAAATGATCACAAACTTGCTATAATAATATTATCTTGCATCTTAATCTACCACACAATAGGGCACTGTCCAACAATGGATATATACAGAGACGATCTTATTTTCTATAACAAAGTGTGCATGCTTAGTTTTACTAGTAGAGAACTGGATTTATTAGACTAATAAATCCAGCTCTCTACTTAAATTTTTGTGACAAATTGATCCAGTGCATTGCTTGCCGAGGAGGAATCTTTTGTGTTGCCAAGTTTCATTCAAATAGCATGACTTTGGGAGAACATATGACTGATAATCTTTGTAAAACTGTAAAGAATGCCACTTTTTTAAACCTGTAAATGTCTTTACAACTCAAAAAGTAGGATAGATATTAAAAATCTGACAGCATGGCTAGATTCTGCATTAAAAACAGTACTAGACTGCCAAGTTTCATTTACATACTCCAAGAAATAGGCGAGCTATGACAAATATTGTCTCAAAACACACCGAAAACCGCCACATCTTTACCTAAACGTCTTCATAACTCAAAAAGTAGGATAGCTATGAGAAATCTGAAAGCAGGATTAGATTCTGCACCAGCAAATGTACTGGGCTGCCAAGTTTCCTTGAAATACTCCGAGAAATGACTGAGTTATGACGAATATTGTCTCAAAACTCACCAAAGAACGTCCCATATTTTGGGCTTTTTTCATTATAATTTTTAAAATGTCTATAAAAAATTAATTGATTAAACAATTCGTAACTTTTTGGTTTATTGATGGATTTTAAAAATTCAAAAAGTTCCATTCTCTGTGGAGATACAGCTACAAAATGCACCTATTTGCAAACACTTTCTGACAAAAAAGGTTTTTCGTGGTTAATGCTACATAACAACAAGAGCGTCTAGAAAGGTTATAATTCGAATGGGCCTCTAACTACTCGTAATGTCTTATCAGCTTGTGAAAGGGGGTTATTCCTGTGTTTGTAACACTTTATAAATAGAAAGCTATGAAAGATAGAGCGTTATTTTTATCATCGATTAACACACTCCCACGGTATCACGGCGAAAACACACGTTTCCTGGCGCGCGAGCTGTACACCAACAGTACACACTGAGTGACCCTGGCAGCCTGCCCGGCACGTCCGACGTAATCAGTTGCTGATAAGATTCGCATCTCAGCACAGACGCAGGACAAGAGTTAAGCCTTAAGCACTGAGTTTTTAACCCTGGTCCTGTGGATGCGGGATTTATGTTCCTCAATAACAATTTATACACCTCTCCTTTAGTCTGTCCCATGTCATTTTGGCCCTGGTTCAGCGCTCACGCTCCGAGCATCAGCACCGTTCCGTTCGAGTCCCACATTTCCCCTGCTCAAGTGTGTGTGCGTCAGTCTACTTGAGTTTGTGTGCATTTGTGGCCTACTTCAAGAACCGCCTGCGTTGGTTCTTAACCGTGGCATAGATATATAAGTACTAGGCCTACCTCTCATTTAAAACACGCCAAGTTGGTAGCCTATATCTAGATGTTCGTCCAATGAAATTAGAACAAATTGACGTACTAAGAGATGAGGAGCTCGAAAGGATAGTCAGGAAACAAGACTTCTCTTTTTCTAAAAACAAAAATCTTTCAAATGAGCTTGATTTTGTATGAAATGTGATGTAGATTCTTGATCTAGATCTACCTGACAAAGGAGGTGAGAGTGGGTGGAAATAATTTATTTTGTTATATTCCCACCCGGGTCGGTTCACATCTCCTCTTTCCTATCTATCTAGATCTAGATTCTAAATTTATATAATAATACAGGCTGAAGGCTGACATAAAGATAGGCCTCTGGATCTAGATCTAGTACTCTAATCACCTGGGGGTGAGAATTAGACCTATTTTGGCAGATCTAAGTAGATCTTGTACACCTCTACAATTTTATGCTGGGTCTGGAAATATTGAGCACATTCAAACAAGAGTGCTAATGTTAAGGGGAATCCCGTCACTTTTAGCTTTTGAATGCTTTCTGTCATATCAAATCAATCTCATTGTCAAAAGCAATGAAAAAGGCGAAAAATATGAATGAAAATAAAACTAAATCATGCGTACAAGAACACTCTCACCTTAGTAAAAAAAAAAATGGAGTCAAATATTTTTAAATCCCCTTGGAGGGAGGGAAATAAGAGGAAATCTTATTCCCACCCGGGGTGGAATCTTATTCCCACCCGGGGTGGGAATAATGGCAGCCCCTGATAAAAATAAGCTTAGAAATTTGATACTTTTGAATACCATTGTACAGGTAAAAAGAACAATTTGAGAGCAAAGCATTCGGAAATTGTCCTATATTTTATACCCTTTCGAACCCCAGATCATTCGTAACAACAAGAGCGTCTAAAAAAGTTATTGGAATGGGTGTAACTACTCGTAATGTCTTATCAGCTTGTGAGAGGGAGTTATTCATGTGTTTGTAACACTTTATAAATAGATAAATAGAAAGCTGTATCAGAAGCATTGTTATTTTCATCATCAACTAATACTCTCCCACAGTATTCACAGCGAAGGCACACGTTTCCAGGCCCGCTCGCTGTACACCAACAGTACTCGCTGAGTGACTTCGGCGGCCCGCCGGGAACACCCAACGTCGTAATAGGTCACTGATAAGATTCGCATCTCGGCACAAGATGCAGGACAAGAGTTTTACATTACAGAGAGAGCACTGTGACTGTTCATCAGTGTTTCATTAGTAACCAAATATTCATTTTCTTACAAAATTGGCTAGATCTAGTAGGCTACTTGTAATGTGTAGGAGAACGGTGTAGTGAGAGTTTACCCAAACGACAAGACGGAGACCTAGGCAATATATAAAAATGTCCTTTACTAACTACTAAGAAATGTTTGAATGAAACAATCCCTTTGGCACAGCGATGGATGTGAAGCAGATCGGGAAGGCCGTGCAGTATCACGGCGTCGCGCTGCTGAAGAAGCTCGGGGAGGAGCAGCAGGAGGCGCCATCAGCGACCATCTTGAGCTATTTGTCCAAGAGAGAGCCGCAGGAGCCAGAGATTAGGTCAGTGAGACTTTCATGTTTTGTACATTGCCATAATTGGTCGCTTTTCAGAACAAGGAGTCTATCCCGAAAATCGCTGTTTTGAGAAAACCGAAGGTAAAGTTTTTGCCCCTTGTTCAGTTTCTTTAATAGGCAAGGAGTTTTTCTCTATAACCAAACAAATATACACATATATGAAATCAAACTTCTCCTCTACAGGTAGGGCAATGCCCACTTTTGGTGTAGGTCAACATTTCTTGAAACCCCCAAAGTCTGTGCTAGCCTGCTTGTCCTTAAAAGCGATCAATTTACCTCTGAAATACTTGGAGGCCAGCTCAGAGATTGGTGTGTAATGACTTGCCACTGCCACTGTTTAAGGTGGTTGGCAAATGTGCAGCAATTAACAGTTACAAAATGGGGGGTTGGCGGGTGCATTGGTGTGGTTTACTCGTTCTTTCTTCGTCCTTATCCCTCCTCCTTTTTTGCGTTTGTTACTCTTTTGTAACACCTCTAGTAAAGAGAGAGAAGTAAAAGAAATAATAGCAAGCAACTTCTAAATGATCACAAACTTGGTCCATATTTTTTGTCTTTCTCAACATTTTGTTACTTTGAGAGCAGTGGGAACAAAAAGTAACTTACTCATACTTGGAAAAAAAAGAGAGATTTGAAAAGGAAACTGTTGAGATAACTGAAAATCTATGTTTCTCCAATGTGCTTTTCTAACACTGTCAATATTTCCTCAGGGATGAGCATTTTCAAAATAAGTTGTGCAGTTTTATTGCCAAAAAATCGGATTTGCTGTTTCGTCCTTTGAGCGGTGAGGATAAGGAGACGACGAGCAAAGACAATATCGATGGTAAGGTAGTCTTTGCTCTTTCTCAATTCTTATCGTCTTTGTCTTTTTTTTTTTCTTATCCATTTAAATCTAGTGTCACAAATTTTGTCTACATTAGAATTTGAGTAATGAACAAGATGTAAAAAAAAAAAAAAAGTATACTTAATAGTTTTTTAAGATTTAAAATAAGAAGAAAAAAATGTGCCTTTGAACTGATGACCTTCCTATTCTAATGTTGGTTATAATACATGTTTTAAGAATTTGAGCTAAGCCTAAGATATATTTCACAGATGCGTACGCTATCATGCCGCCGTTGGAAACTTTTATGGACTTACCGGTACCTGTACGAAGGGAACATTTGTACAATGTGAGTTTTTATACATGCACCAGACCTCTTTCCTGTCTTTTCAAGACCAAAAAATTGTGTTTGATCTCTGTTTTCCTTGTGATTCATTATTATAGTAGTTGGAGTATTGAAGAGAAGTTGTGATGGGGCTTGAGACCTAAAAGGTGCTCTGATGTCTTTTATTAGAACGACATTAAGATTTTATATTTATGAAAATGTTTTATACCATACCATATGGTACAATATGTTTTCTTGGTGAGTCTACACCCTTACACGAAACTTTATCAATTTTGTTGCTAAATTTTTATGCAAACTCTTTTTCAGTACTTTTCGTGTGCTCTTAGTCTTTTTCTTCTTCTTCAAACAAGAAGAATGAGGAATGCTCTTTTTAAAGTAGCCTACATGTTCTGGTATATACCCACTTTTGTGTGAAAATGTGGGGTTTACGTGTGTGAGCTTGTTAGTCTCTTTGTTTTCAGTGTTCATGCTTGTTAATATCAATGTTTCAATGCCAAGTTTCATTCGGCTAAGACTGTTATTCAGTTGTAATCTTTTATGGCCTTGCAGATAATTGTCTCAACCATTAAATCATTTTTTTTATCTTCTGTTTTTCAGACTTTACATGTGGATGATTGTGTCACAGGCGTAGTTTCTCAGATCCTTGAGAACGGACTCCTCATACGCTTGCTCTGTGTGGATAAGTTTCAAGCTCGAGACATTGAGGACCTAGAGGCTATGGTTGCTATTTTTTCCTGTATTTGTTAATTTGATGGTGTTAATCAGTTATGTATGATATAGATAATGAAATGTAGGTCGGTTTTGATCAATGATTCAATGTGAGGGTCGGTTTTGAAAATTATCGTTTCCCTTTTTTCATTATCTTGTCACTCAGACTAGAGGAGAATGAAGCTAATTAGTCTCATTGTTTGACTGATTGACGTATTGTTTTATACTCGCGGTGAAAGTAGAAAAGATGGACACTTCAGTGTAAGACTCCGTACGTCACTTTGAAAAAATAGGTATAGCATAGTCGTACACAACGTTTTATGTTACTGTTGTACGTTGTATTGTATTGTAAAGCGCTCAGAACCTGTGTACTTTGATCGGGGTAGAGCGCTATATAAATGTCATTTATTATTATTATTACATTAACTCATTCTGCCCGGAGCGATGACTCGCCGGCCGAACGCGGTTTCCGCGGAGGAATGACTCAGTTGTCTTTTCTCATATGGTTTTTCCAAACGGCTCCTACTGTTATTTTCGGCAATATTTTTGCAACTTCTGAATGTATTTGTGTCAAGACTGGAAGCTTCACTGCTAGTTTCGTTATTAGTGGGCTTTTAAAAGAAAATTTAACGTTTTTTCTTTAGACTGAAGTGTTGATTGAAATAAAGCAAACCCGTTTTTGTTTACAATGGCGACAATAGCTTGGGGCAACGGTTCACGCGAAACGAAAGCTCCGTAAAGCTTTTTGCTGGTTGACTTGACTAATATAAGCTTTATTATTATGATTACATTGTTGGCCACACTGACTTAGACTTCAATAGTAATTTCTAACTGGTGGGAATAGCAGTGACGATACTGACAATGGGAATGAAACTGACCAGATTTTGAGTGGGCATCGTACTCAGTGAGGGGTAGTAGGTGAATCATCCATTAGATATAACCTGCCCACAAAGTCTAAATCTTGTACTAACAATGTCGACAAAGCTGGTACAACTGCTAGTACTAGATTTATTATAAGGATAGAATTAGGAGCTATTCGCAGGTCTAGGTCTACTGTCCGTGGAGATGTGGGTGGTTGGCGGGTGCTCTGGTGTGGTTTGCTTCTTCTTTCCTGTCAAAAATCTATCATCCTTTTCTCCCCTCCTACTATTTTATGCTTGTTACTCTCTTGTAACACCTTTAATCTTCTGGCGCTCATATGACCTTATGCAGTTGCGAGCGCCCTAAAACCTCTACTAAAACAAACTGTCAGTGGAGATCTGGGTTGTGGCTGACTAGCATTTCGTATATTTCAATGACTCCTTATTATTGAACAAGATGTGTGTTAGAAATACAACGTATGTGGTATTACTACAAAGGCAATTTACATATAAACATTTCTGTGGAGTGTCAGTCTGCATTTCATGGGTAATGGTGGCAACAAGTTGGAAGTAAAACTCATCAAACTAGCCAAGTTCATTATTTTTCGGTTATTATCCCACTTATATTGCGTAATTGCTCTAACATAACAGCACAAAGAACCATGCACCCCATCTATTGTGATAGTTTATTCAATAACCTTTCCAGTAGTATCAAATATTTGTACTTTCATTGAAAAAATATGGCAACAGAATCTATTTGAATAAGGTACCCTATCGTAATAGGCGCTCCTGAGAAAATTAATTCTGGCGTTTTGGGAGGATCAGTGGAAAAAAATTATGGGCGCAGAGAGCTAAGCAGTCGAGATGTTCTTTAAAAATCTATCTGTGCACACTTATTTCCGTGTTTGCATGCATCGGAAGGTTTCTCGAGCACCTGAGTTAGACGCAGCCTTTTTTTTTTTTTGTCTTTCCACAGGCTTATTGCCCTGCCAAGGAACTTCCCAAACTTTACGCCAATGAGAGCGCCCTCGATGCTTTTCAGGAGAAGGATATCGTCAGAGGTTGGTTTTGCGCCAGATTTTTAAGAGTGGTTGTCTAGAGTACGGTCGTTATGCACTGGGATTTTTTTCTGAGCTTTTGTAAATATGTGAGGCATCATGGTGAAATTAGGCGCTCGTCAAAATAATGCTATCAAAGAGGTGGGCCATTTTCTGTACGTTGAGCAATTTTTTTTTAATGATTTTTTTTTTTGCCTCAACACCTTTTATCTCCATTTAAAAAACATGTTTATAATTAGATTTTACTGAAAAATATTGGATCAAAGGCACAACAAATCAAAATTCGCAGGTTTTAAGGACGCTCAAGCTTTGGAAGTCACCAAACTTTGGCGGCCATTTTCTTGCTAAATTTACCCCATGACAACAGGTGACACCCCCCCTCCCCCCGCCCCCCCCCAACCTCCTTCAATTGTAAATATCACAACTTCTAATTAAGTAAGACAGGTATTTTATTCACCGTAAGCAAGACAAATGAATAAACTTTACGATGATACCAAAGACTCCATATGCCCAAAAACTGACGAGCGTCTGATTCCACAGCATCGTGACACGAATACAGTCAAACGTGCTCTAATGGCTGTCTTACATAAGGCAAACTGCAGATGCTGATGTTGTTATTGTGACCATATAGACAGTTTTCTCGTGACAGGAGTTGTTTGTGGGAACAGATTCATGACTTTGTTCAAGCAATATCGGTTAAGCTCCTTACATTGTTTGGAAAGGGTTTGTTTATTTCCCTGGTGTGCTACGCGTGCGCTTATCACGTGGTTTCTTTGTGTGTCTCCACAGGGATTGTGCTGAATGTTGACGCCAAAACGGAGAGAATTATCTTGTCCCTGCATAAGAAGGCGGTGCCTGATGAGAAAAAGTACCCTCGCATCGTGAGTTTGTGGCACCATGTTGATAAGATAAGATAATACTTTATTATCCCAGAGGGAAATTTTTCTTGGCTATACGGGACCGTAAAAACACATGCAGGTATACATAAAAAAATGTTAATTATATATCACTCTCATTAAATTTCAATATGAAAAGAGAAGTAAAGCTGACAAAATGAACATTTCACATCTGATGCATCATTCAACCACATGCAGGAATTTAGTTACAAGACCTTTGAAGGAAAATAACTCTTGCACTTTGAAAGTTTTATGAAAGCTGGAATGAATGCTAAAGTACTTTCAGTTGACTGTAGACAGGGAGTATGTGATAGACCTTAAGAAATGAAGGGTTTAAAAACTTGAAAATAAAGTCTCCGTATATTTTTGCTGTAAGAATGATCATTTTGGGATGACAAATATAAACTGCGAGTTTTGCTGGAGAAAAACTAGTAGGGACCCAACTTTTTGTTGCAGTTGTAGACAAAGTATTTCTTTACTGGTCGCTGATGATGGTGAGGAAAAACATCAGAATACAATACTGTGTAACTTAGCTAATCTTTTTAATAAACTTAAACTGACCTTTTTTTAACTTCACTAATTACCCCTTTCAGATTTGATAGCCCAGTAGTAATAATGATCATAATAATGATGAAGATGATAATGATTTTTTTTTTCTGTGGCAGGGATTGATCACAGAAGCTGAGTTTCCAGTTCATTACAGGTGAGTGTTTGTTTCAGGTGGGTGAGGGGGGGGGAATAATGTCATTTAAGTGTCGAAGATTAGAGGTGTTACAAGAGAGTAACAAACACAAAAAAGGAGGAGGAGAGATAAGGAAGATAGATGTTTGATAGGAAAGAAGGAGCAGACCACACCAGAGCAGAGCACCCGCCAACCACCCGCTGTCTCTCTGTGCTGTAGAAATAGATTGGATGAGCATTCGTTTTTGATGTGTATACAAGTCACAAGTGTGTGAATTTGTGAAAAGGTTTTCTGCTCAGGCCTCCCATGTGTGGTCTTGGGTGTCGTGTATTTTCATTGCTTAAAAGGAAATAAGTTGTTTGGATTTATAGATAATTTATTTATTTTATTGCGGGGGGGGGGGGGGTTGGTGTCTCTTTGTGTTGAGTTGAAGACAGGTTTTGTTTTCATGATTTCGTTTTTTTTTGTAGCCTGATTGCTGTCCATACGGTCGATTTACTGTTTTATTCGTATGGTGTCTGTGCAGGAGAAAGAGTCAGATCCAGGATATGCCGTATGAGGAAATGATCCACTCCGTCTTGGGGTTCAACAACAGCGGGAATGTCAAGGCACTTTTGTCTGAGCTCGACATTCCTGACACTGCCTCGTACTTGCGCTTCCACTCCAGGTGAGATCAGGTCTCGGGGGTGGGGGGGGGGAGTATGTGTCTGATGAAGATGGTGGATAGGTCAGGGGTATATGAATAACTGGTGAAGATGTCGTGGATATATGAATAAGCGGATGAAGAGATATGATACTTGCTAGGCTGCAGTTTCTTGGAGTCTTGTTGATTATAATTATGGGGGGAGGCTGCAAAATGGCCAAGTCTTGAGTTGTCGATAAATGTTGTTTATCTCTTCTAGCAGCATATATTGCTTTACCGCGTGCGAAGATTTGTAATAATTTTCTGCGGAGAATAAATCCAAAACTGCTGAAATAGTTCGGCATTCATCTATTCATGAAAGAGATTGATGTAACCTGCGGGAATCCAAGTGGGTTTTTTTTTTTACCCTTCAGTCTTCGGTTAAGTAAACTTCTGAGGCTAGGTTACCTTGCATCAGAGATGTTCTGTGTGCTGGAGAGACTGAACGTAGCCGGGGAGGAAGAGGGAGGAGGGGGGATGACGGAGTGGTCGGTGTCGCGGCTGATGCTTCTGTCCTTGTCCACAGGTTGAGGATACCAGAGAAAGAATACGCAGAGGGACTGAACAAATGGCAGTCGCAAAAGTTGGCTCACCAGAGGTAAACGAATGGATGAATCAATAGATGTAGGGTTCTAAGGCTAGTTCAGTAACATTTGTTATTCCTGGTATTTTTTTTTCCTTTTACACTCCTTTGAAATTGTAAGAAAATATCTTCCTTCTGACAAGAGCGAAAATCTATTCCTTGCAAATTTGTTTCCAAAGAACTGCCCAAAAATATATGAGATTTTATGTTTTTGTAAGCTGAATGTGAATCAAGATAAAAACAAAAATGTATCCAGCTAGGTGGCTTGATTTGGTATTTAAAAAAAAATCCTCTGGCCTCTTGTAGCTACTGATAAAAAAGTAGAACCTGCACGTGAGCTGGCTTGTTTCGAATCACTACTTTGACAATGACAATGTTGATAATCGTGGATTTTTTTTCTTCACCTAGTGTGGCTCAAGGTGTGGAGTTTTTCAAACAAGGGAAGGAACTGGAAGCGATGCAGCACTTTAGCCGAGCCTTGCAGATTGATCCGACAAACGTTGAGGCCTTAGTGGCCCGTGGAGCTCTGTAAGCATGGGGGGGTTTGTGTATGTGTGTGTGTGTGGGCAGGGAGGGGGACAGGCGGTGTTGTGGAGAAAACGAAAAAAAATGGTTTACATCGTTTTGTACTGCCTTTTTACGTAAGATCATAGTAAGTGAAAATATACTCTAAGAGGAAGCAACATAGTAACCACTCCAGTGAATCTGAAAATGTGGAGCATTTGATTCTTCATGTTGTGATTGCTGTGTGGGCTATCGAAAAAGTTTTCATATTTAAAATTTTGGCAAAATGAAATGCAAATTTCATAACAATCTAGAAGGAGCTGGTCTCCCTTTCATCCAATCTCGGCGACCCTGCGCCAGAGAGCTGCGGAACTGCCGTGTGGGTTGTCAGTCTCTCTCATGCTGAGAAGCACAGTCGGGGTAAAAATGGCGCCTTTGTTGAGGCAGTCTGCCATTTTTATCTGCTCCTTGTTCCATCCTTTCAAGGTCCCAGTTCTGTGGAGAGGAGGATGGGAATACTTAAAATATTGTTTGGGTTTTTTGTTTTTTTTAATTAGTGTATTTGAATGGAATTGTTATATTAATTTGTTACAAGTGTATATATATTTGAATCCAGTTTCTTTATCAACTTTGAGAACAGAAAGTCCTGGGTCATTGTGTTGCCCTTGCTACTTGCTGTAGCGACAGAGGTTTGGCTGGAGTTGGGAGTGGGTACCCGGCCATAGACAGCGAAAGATCTTGTCAAGCGACAGAGGTTTGGCTGGAGTTGGGAGTGGGTACCCGGCCATAGACAGCGAAAGATCTTGTCAAGCGACAGAGGTTTGGCTGGAGTTGGGAGTGGGTACCCGGCCATAGACAGCGAAAGATCTTGTCAAGCGACAGAGGTTTGGCTGGAGTAGGGAGTGGGTACCCGGCCATAGACAGCGAAAGATCTTGTCAGTATGTTAGTGTTTTAGCGCCTGTAAATGGCTGCTTGTACTGTATGCTTCCCAGCAAGTTGAGGTTGTTTCAAAATGTTCTCAGGTCTGCTGGGGTAACAGTATAGATTGTGAAGCGCAAAGAGCTTGCGGTTGAGCGTGGATCTGCGCTATACAAATGCTATCTATTATTATAATTATTATTGTTGTGTTGTTGGAGGTAACTTGGGTGCTTTTGCTTCGTCGCAGTGATTCTGTATTTTCTGTCTGTTATCCCAGCTCCCCGTGTGCTTTGTGTATGGGACAATGATTGCGTTACTGTGCTTCCTGCAATTCAAATTGACTTTTTGGAAAGTTGATTGTTTAATGTTGGATTTCCACTGTCATTACGATCTGACAATGCTTCTGATTTGTGCCTGCTTGTACATATGTCAAAGCTGCCTACGATTTTGTGGTTATTTTACTTTGTCTGAAGTTAGGTGTGAATATTGTTGGAAAAAATTGTAAAATTCAAACTGATGGATATATACTGTTACATAAACCGTTGAATGTGTATTTATATTTATTCTCTGATTATGTTACTGTTAGGTGATGCTGTAATGAGACGACTCATGTGACTGTTAAGCGATTTGTCGGAATAAATGAGCGACTTTCTGCTCCAAACCTATTGCGGTGTTTTTGTTTACAATGACTGTTTTGTGGCAATCAGCATCGGTTGAGAGAAACGATGCTCATAGGAAAATATTATCGCTGTTTGTTTTCGATTTTGTCTTCATTGATATCCATTCTTTTCTATCAAGATCTGAATGTTTTTGATGAGTCAGATTCTTTTTTAAAAAGTAAAAAAACTCAAAATGTTTGTGATCATGAACTTACAGTAGTAATTTTTGAAGTGTTCGTAAACTACCACTTGAGCAGACCTTCTGTAGTGGAATGCAAAAACTCCTAACTTACCACTTTGCAGTCACACAGCCAGCAGTACAAAGTACCCCATTTGGTCACCCAGCCAGGAGAGTAACTGCTACAGACTTCTTGGGCCTGGCACAGAATCTGCGTCAGGTGACCGGAACGGATATTTTCACCACCGCATTATTGTGCCAAGTGACTGCACAGTGTTAAAAACAGTAGGATGTGTAAAATGAATATATACACATATAATGTCATTTGGAAGGCAAAGAGAGGGTGTGAGGCAGTGAGTCATCAGATTACAATCTTTGGAGTAAAACATTGGAATGAGTTCTGTGTTTTACCGTGGTCAAAGGAAGGGAGAACATATTCAGGTCTTGATTGGCCCTATTCGGGTAATTTTTTTAAAGCTTTAATTTGATGTGAAAAATGATCTTGAAAATGTTTTCCTATATTTGATTTTAATTCTGTTTCAACTACAACTAGATCTACATGTTTTGGTTGCTGATGGGAAAGCGCAATATTAAAAAAAAAAGAGTTTTGCTGATTACTACAGAATGTTTGCTTTCATTTTCAAAACTTGTTAAAACCTGACTCAAAACAAAGCCACATTTATTTTCAAAACTTTTTAAAGCCTGACTTAGAACAAAGCCGCATTTGTTTGCATTTACCGGACGGGTTTTTGGCCAGGATGCTTGACGTTTGTCCCACAATGATTTTGTCAGAACTGGAAGAGAACAGTTGATGGGAGCAGTGAGAAAGATATCAGGTAAGAAACCTTTTGAGTGACTTTATCTGTTTAGATAAAAAATAAGTCTTGTTTGTGATTTTAAAGTTGAAAGGGTAAGGTAATGAATAAGTTGTACTTTTGGCAACTTGTAAGAAAGTCTTGTGCACATAGAGAAAGTCCCACGAGTTCTGTGTGTCGATAATTTGTGAAAAACTAGCATTCAGTTGCAGTTAACAGTTTTGTGTTTGGTGTTTGTGAGTACTAAATCTTTGCTCTTACTTTATTTTCGCAGGGGGAAAAGACCTGTTTCAAGGTCGCCAGATCCAGATCTTTCATGAGTTTCTTCAGGAAATGGCGTGACTCATCTAGATAAGACACGATTGGACAAGGCGTGAGCCAGTTCTTCTGAATCCTTAGAGAGAGATGTGCCAAGTTCACAGCCCTTTTTTGTCCGGTTTTTTGAAAGCCTCACAGACAAAAAAGTGGGTGACCGTCCACCTCCTTGTTTCAGGTTGTTTTTCAAGTTCTCCTCCCCTCCTCTTTGAAGACGGAGCATTTGATGAAAAGTACGACCTCATAACGACGATGATGGAAGACGCTCACACATCTGGTTTGCTAGACGACCGCGACAAGTTGTGCTCCACGGAAGTGGGAACCGCGCCGCGGGGGAGTTCGATGAGGACGATGATGATGATGATGTCATTGAAGGTCTGACAATGACGATGTACCATCAAAACCCCAAGCTCTTTGCTGAAGGCCGAAGACAAAGAGAAATCGTTTGAGGGTCAATGTTGTCAGGATGTGGTTGAAAGTTGGACAAAGGTATTACTGAAGGCTGTGAGAAAAAAAAACTTGACTTTCTTTCGCGACTGATCTGTCTAGGTAGATTAGTGAAAGTTGGTCTTTTAATTCATGACTGGACAAATATCTGGGTCGGGGGGGGGGGGGGGGGTGGCTGTGTGTGCCTGGACTATGGTCTGATGGCACCGAAGCAGCTATTGTCATGTACCATAGTAAACTCCTTCACTCTGTCTCTTTGTCTCTCTCTCTCTCTATCTCTCTCTCCCTGCCTTACTCCCTGTTTCTCTTTAAACTTCTTTATTTTCAGATTTATTCAAGCTTGTTAGTTTGTTCCTGTCTTCTTGCGGTCTAAATGGGGAATATGTGATGTATACCTAAGTCTATTTAGTGTGAAGAGTTAAAACTTCTCTCATCAGACCAGATAAATGACTGTAGTAAAACAAGTCATTCGTCAACATTTTATGTCACAGTTTTATTGCAGACCGGAGCTATGAATAATCGATTAGAGTCAGACCATTTGGATGCTCATGCTGTTTTATTTATTTGTTTCGGGTAGAAAGTAATGCTTGTGGGTGCACTGTTTCTGTACTTTCAGTTACGCCAACAAGGAAAGTTTCCATCGAGCGATCCAAGACTTTGAGGAGGCTCTGGCGGCGAATCCCAGACATAATAATGCTCGCAACTATCTGCTGGAGACTTTGCTCACCTACGGGAAAAGGTAGGTTTGTCATTGTCGGAGTTAATTAAAGAAATACTGAATAGGAACATAAGAGGTAGGCTTGGCTTGTCGGAGAAGTACTGCAGGAAAATGGGAATGTAAAAGAGGTTGTTTCTCTGTTTGTGAAATAGTTACCTGTGTGAAAAGCAAACCAGTAGATTTTTTGTAGAAGAGTTCAGAGTGATTTTTGTACTAGTTTTTTTTTTTTAAACTGTGATCACGAAATTCATGCTTTTTTCTTTTTAACACTTTGCCCCCTCATCTCGCAGATTGTCCTCTCTATCTGTCCCCGTAGAATTATGCAAATTCAGATGGCCAAATTATGCCCCCAAAAAAGCCAAATTATGCAAGTTACCGTAACACCATTCGCAACATGTTTTGCACATTTTCAACACAAATTTTCATGATTTTCATGTTTTATGTACAGAACAATTTAAAACAGAACATATCAGTATCAGTAATTTGTTGTGTATTTGGAAAGAAAACAATACACTTCAGTAAGAAAAAGAACCAACCAAAAAATATAATCTCTGTAACTTTCAGCTGTAGATCTAGATCTAGATTTAGATCTCTAGAGGATAGAAAAATGTTTTTACAAAAAGAAGAAAAGGACATCTGGACCTCTGATGCTGGCACATTACTAAAACCAGGGACACCTGTCAAACATGAAACATCGGCAGACATGAGAACAAAAACTTTTGATGGATTGAAAAAATTGAACATGCTCAAGGAATAAAATCACAACCCATAACCAAGATCTTCTAACAAGGGAAATAACCAACTTTTCACTTAAATGAGACTTATTACGGTGATTATTACCCTTTAGTCACATGGCGAGGCGTTAATTAATTGTTTTGTGAAAAAAAACGTGAAAAAACATTGGGAATCCCAAATTATGCAAATGTTGAAAAATTATGCGAAAAAACGCCCGCGGCCGCACAATCGCTTAATTCTACGGGGACAGCTCTATACAGTGGGATCAATTGCACCGTTGCAATATAGGGTCTTTGTTAATGATTTTGGACCTGGTGATTTGAAGATTAAAGACAAATCCTGTTGCATTATAGGGTCTGTAACTAAAAAGTTTTTCTTTTTCTATGTATAAAAAAGTCTGGGTTGTAATAGTTTAAATTTAAACTGTTGAAACAGATATTGCTGTACTTGCATGTTTTCTTGTTTGGAATTTTGTGTTTGTTGTAAACAATGTAAGACTGCGTCAGACGGCACTTTTCCAAATAATATATGTACGCCGGAGTCAAATACTAAGCAGTTGTTGATATGTTTTTCTTATTTAGGAGCAAACAAGTTTATCACTAAAGTGTCGGCTTTTGATTCTTTTTGTTTTGAAGATTCCAATACGAAGGAAAAGTTGTTTTTTTTTTCAATCATCCTTTGATTTCTGTGTGTGTCAGCTGCGAGGACGACCGCGAATTTGAGGAGGCGTGTGTTCACTACCAGCACGCCCTGAAGGTGGACCCGGGGAATGTCGAGGCCAAAGACATGTTGGCGGGATGTCAGCGACTAATGGTGAGTGGGACATGTTGGGGGATGTCAGCGTTTGATGGTGAGTGGGGGGACATGTTGGGGGGATGTCAGCGTTTGATGGTGAGTGGGGGGACATGTTGGGGGGGATGTCAGCGTTTGATGGTGAGTGGGGGGATGTCAGCGTTTGATGGTGAGTGGGGGATGTTGGGGGGGATGTCAGCGTTTGATGGTGAGTGGGTCGTGTTGGGGGATGTCAGGGTTTGATGGTGAGTGGGTCGTGTTGGGGGATGTCAGGGTTTGATGGTGAGTGGGGGGACATGTTGGGGGGATGTCAGCGTTTGATGGTGAGTGGGGGGACCTGTTGGGGGGATGTCAGCGTTTGATGGTGAGTAGGGGGATATGTTGGGGGGATGTCAGCGTTTGATGGTGAGTGGGGGATGTTGGGGGGATGTCAACGTTTGATGGTGAGTGGGTCATGCTGGGGGATATCAGCGACTTATGGTGAGTGGTACATGTTGAGGCAAAATCAAGCTAGTTTGAGCTGCTCGTTTTGTAGCCTCTGTGAACTCAATCCCTACTCTCATATTTGAATAAAACATCTACAAATATTCCACATTTTCCTCTGTTTGTTTAAAAAATATTCCACATTCTATCTGTTTGTTTCCTCAAGGTCATTCAGAAACAGCAGGAGGGCAGCAAGCCGGGGGCCGAGGTGGAGAAAGAAAAAACCATTGACGTGGACGTTGATGTGGGTCAGTCTCTGATCAGTCGCACCGCGGAGAAACTGAAGCAACTCATCCAGGAAGACAGGAAGAAGAGTTCCTCCAGGTCTGTGTCTGTGGAGAGGGAGTTCTCTGGGTTTTTAATGTCTTATCGGTGGATGGTTGGCTGGTGCTCTGGTGTGGTTTGCTCCTTCTTTCCTATGAAACAACTATCGTCTTTTTCTCTCCTCCTTCTTTTTTGTGTTTTTTACTCTCTTGTAACACCTTTTATCTTCGGCACCCCCCCCCCCCCCATGGCAGTGCCACTGACTGAAGTGTCTTTAGACCATTCCCAAAGGGGGGATATTAACATGTTCTTATGCACAGTAGAATTGTAAATGGGCTGATTTATCAATGTCATGCTCATAACTGTGCCAGAATAACATAGGGGGAACTGCTGCTTTTTCTTTCCTCATCCTTACTATCGTCATGTTTCATCTACTTCTTTTGTATGTTTGTCACTCTCTTGTGAACTGCTATTTCCAGGGTGCCTTGATAGTCGAAGCAGACTTTGTGCTGTTGAGGCTAGAGAGGTGAGCAGAGTAAGTCTGATTCCCTCTATGGACTTCTCGGTTGACATTCACCCCTTGGCGCTCATATGACCTTTTGCAGTTGCGAGCGCCGTAAAACCTTACTATATAACTAAACGGTAGTTTTTAACCTATCTCTCTTAACATAATACAGCCTGGGGTGATTATATATTTTTCCCGCTAAAAAGATGAAACCGCAAGCCTTTGATTTATGATACCAGATGTTCATATACAAGGCTGAAGTATGCTGGCTACAAAGTTCCAAAGGGAATACATGTATTGCACTCAGTGAGACAGAAATATAGTCAAAGATGCATAACCAGAAAGACTTGTTTAGATTGTGCATTTAAAAAAAATGGAGTTCATTCTTGCCTTTTACGTTGGAATATTTCTTTTCGTCAAAGTGGCTTACTCTTTCTCTCTCAAATACTAACAGGAGTTCTCTTTTACTTTACTCTTTCTCTCTCAAATACTAACAGGAGTTCTCTTTTACTTTACTCTTTCTCTCTCAAATACTAACAGGAGTTCTCTTTTACTTTACTCTTTCTCTCTCAAATACTAACTGGAGTTCTCTTTTACTTTACTTTTTTCTCTCCATCCAGTGCCAAGAAGAAGACAAAGAAACGCTGGAGCAGCAGTAGTAGTTCATCCGACTCGGGGCATTCCGGGCTGAGGAAACCGCAGCACAGGCGCTCAAGGTCATCGTCGTCCTCCGGATCTGACAGACGGCACAGAAGGTTCGAAACTTTCCACATCGCTGCTGCTGTTGTTGTTGTGATTTGTTTTAGTTAGAGATTGACGGCACTTGCAACACAATAAGGTCAAATAAGGGCTGAAGATTAGAGGTGCTGCAAGAGAGTAACATACACAAAAAAGGAGGGGAGATAAAGATGAAAGACGTTGGATAGGAAAAAAGGAGCAAACCACTCCAGAGCAGCTGCCGACCACCGTCTGTTGTACTTTGATTTTGTAGGGATTTGATCCCTGTTAGGCCACCACAATTTTGTAGGTTGGTATACACAGCATACTTCAACAGTTCGTGGGTTGGTATATTAATATACACAACATATTTCAAAAGCCCGAGAAAATGTTTTAAATTCTCCACTAACCATGCATGTGCAAACTAGGAATGGAACCAGCTACATCTTTTTATGAGAGGCAAGAACCGTATTTTTAGACGAGCAATACCCTTATCTGTTTTTATAATAGTAATAATAGCCATCACTGTTCTGCATTATTATAATTATTATTATTATTATTAATATCATTTAAGTATAAGGAGAGAGCTCTTCTTTCCAATGACTGTATGAGGTCACTACACTGCCGTAAGCTGACAAAATGCCTTTTTTTTCATTTTGGCGCCAGCATTTGTATTTGCTAAATCGAAAGCCTGATCAGTTACCCTGCTTGAGTGAAAAAATCAAAGTGAACTGGAAAGTCTAGAAATCAAATTTCGGAAGCACTCTATTTCCAATAGTTACACTGGCAAAAAAATCTCTTTTTGTCGACACTGCTGTGAAGAAAAAAAAGAGGAGTTTTATCAGTTTACAGCAGTACAGCCTCTCACATCGTTCTCTCAGGAAATCCAGGAAAGTGTCTGGAGATTCCGACCGCTCGTCCAGAAAGAAGGGCAAGAGAAGACGTCGCAGCGTGACAACATCGCCCCCGCCGCGGAAACCTGACGTGAAGGAAGAACATGGGGAGAGAACTCTGACGAGAGAGAAGTCGCCTGTCGAGGATCGCCGAACCAAAGGTGAGCACGGCTTCCCGCCATCAGAAAAATGGCGGAATCGTTACGATGTCTTTTTCAATTTTACGAAAATGCAATTGTAACACCTCTGATTCCTGTTTTTAAAAATCTATTTGCCATTCAGCTATCCCAACCTATTCCCCCCCCCCCTTTTGTTTAATCTGTGACCTACTTTGGACATTGCTCTAATTGTATGTAAAAGATTACAAAGTAAAGAATTCTTAATATAATTGCACTGAATTGATGGAAATTAAGAAGTTAACAATCCTTTGGATAATTATAGTTTTTCAGTGAATTAATGAAAATAAAAAGTAAACCATCTTTTAGACAATTTTAGAGTTATATTTTTGTACTGAATTGATGAAAATTAAAAAAGTTAACAATCATCTGGATAATTATAGATATATTTTTGCACTGAACTGAAGGATATTAAAAAGTAAGCAATCTTTTAGATAATTCAAGTTATATTTTGACGCTGAATTGATTAAAATTAAAAAGTAAACAATCTTTTAGATAATTATATTTTTTCAGTGAATTAATAAAAATAAAAAATTTATTAATCCTTTAGGTGATTGTATTCTTGCACTAAATTTATGAAAAGTAGCTATTAAATTATTTGATCCTCGTGTTTTTTCACCACCGTTAGACTCGCTAATGGTGAAGACTGAAGGCGGAGCCGAGACGGAGGGGTTCAGCTTCGAGATCGAGCCGAAAGTGACGACGTCTTTCCTGCCCGTGTCCTCGCGCGACTACTTCAGCACCACCACGCGGATCCCCGGCCTGGGCAGCCCCGAGAACGCTGACGAGCGGCCGCCGCCCGTGAAACGATCGCCCCAGCACCGCACGGCACAGCTGCTCATGACGGAGAGGCGCAAGTTTTACGAGGACAACGCCCGCCCGCCACAACACACTTTTCGCGGAGTCTCCTCGTCGCTCGCCACGGGACAACGGAGGTCGCGGACGAGGTCTCCGCAGGGGTCAAGGTCACGATCGGCCAAGAGGTCGTTGTCTAGATCCCCGCAGAGGTCAATGGCCAGGTCAAGATCTGCCAAAAGGTCGCCGTCTAGGTCGAGGTCAAGATCTGGCAAGAGGTCACCGTCCAGATCTCCGCAGAGGCCAAGGTCACGATCTGCCAAGAGGTCGCCGTCTAGGTCTCCCCAGAGGCCGTTGCTGGGGGCGAGAGCGAGGCGGAGTCGGTCCAAGTCTCCCCGTGAGGGCACCGGCCTCAAGGAACTGGACATGTACCTGGGCAACGTCCGGCCGTCCAAGGACAAAGACTCGCAGGACATTCTCTCGGCGTGGGAGTCGTTTATCCGACACAAGGAAAAGCCGAGTCCCCCGCCCGCGAGACGATCTCGTTCCGACAGCCGAGACTCGGTTGGGTCCCGCTCACCGTACTCCAGCCCCCGCCCTCGCTACAGGTCCCGATCGCTGTCTCGATCCCCCGCCGCACCACCGCTGTCGTTCCGACAAGACTACGGCGACTCGTGGAGAGGAGAGAGGAGGGAAGGCGACCCAGGGTGGAGAGAGAGAGTCTACAACGAGTGGGGGGGCAGGAGGGGAGGGAGGCGCGGTGGAGGCTTGTGGTCGGGTCGCGGGGGTTATAGGTCGCCGGGTAGAGAGAGAGTCGTCCCCCGCGACAGGGATAGAGGTCGCCTCTCAAGGTCACCACCACCCCCTCCTGTGTCGTCTGTGGCTGCGAACAGATTCGATCATCAGTTCCCGAGCCGAGGGGGGTATGGTAGGGGAAGGATGGGGAGGCTTCAGGATAGGCCCGGCCGACCGAAAACGTTTGAGGAATCGCCGAGAGGGATAGATGGCTCGGAGACGGGGAGAGACAAAAGCGTCTTTGTTGAGGCCGACTCTAGACCTTCCTTCTCACAAGGGCTAGTCGACAGGCAAATGTCGCAGGAACAGTTCTTGAGGTGGAGAGAGAGACAGGAGAAATATGAAGCCACCGTTTCTTTAAATCTAGATGAAAGGAGAGAAGGAATTCGCGCTGATCAACAGAGGAGGTCGCAGGATGTGGGGGAGGAGGGGAAGAGGGTGAGGGGTGAGGAACTTTGGGGTGGGAGGGAGGAGAAGGCTGGGAAGGAGGAGAGGGCAGGGAGGGAGGAGAGGAGTGGACGAGAGGAGAGGGTGGGGAGGGAGGGGGGTCCGGGGAGGGAGGAGAGGAGGAGTCTGAAGGATGCGTGGACCTCCATCCACAAGGGTAGGTCAGGAGACAGAGAGCCCAGCGACCTAGCTGAAGACAGGGTCAGGCTGGAAGGTCAGTACGCGACCTCCAAGAACCCGGACGGAGGTCAGCGGGAGAGGGAGAAGGTCAAAGATCAGGGCCGAGAAGAGAGAGATGGGTCGTCGTTGAGCAGTAGGAAGTTGGAGGATGGTTACGCGTACGGTGGTCCGAGGGAAGAAAGTGGGCGAAGGTTTCAGGAAGAGAGAGAGAGGTCGCGAGAGTCTTCTGCTAGCCAGAAATTTGCTGTTGAGTGGAGGCAGCAGAGAGAGAGGTCGCGAGAGTCTTCTGCTAGCCAGAAGTTTGTTGTTGACTCAAGGCAGCAGATGGAGGAAGTCGGTGTGTCTGGCGGGGGGACGTCTGCCGTTGAGGACGAGGTCAAACCCTCGAGGAGACGACAGGAAGTGGATGAGGAGGGGGGAGGAAGCGGTAAATTGGGAACGGGCGGAGCTGGGCCGCGGATTATCCGGAAGCCCGTTATGGATGATCCGAACTTGAATCGTCCGATGCTTTCTTCGAACGAGTTGGCAGTTCTGGAGAGGAAGAAGAGGGAGGAGAAGGAGAGGCTGAGACAGAAGTACGCGGAGACGAAGCCCGACACAGCACAAGACGGATCGGAGAACTTTAAGGGAGGAGAGAGCAAGAGGGCCTCTAAGGACAGGAGAGGGGAGGAGGAGGAGTCAGACGGGAAGACGAGGAGAACGGACAGAAAGAAGAAGAAGAGGAGGAAGAGCAGAGATAAAGACAAGAAAAGAAGGAGGAGAGATAGCAGTGACGCTGGTGATGATGAGGAGGAGAAGAAGAAGAAAAAGAATGGTGAAAATGATAAGAAAAAGTTAAAAATAGAAGCGTCCAAGTCACGAGGGATGCCTGATGATGACAGAGGAGACGGGAAAGGAAGGAAAGGTTCGGATGACGCCAGTGAGGGGGGTGAAAAAGGTAGAAAAAGTCAGTGGTTAGACGAAGTCGATCTAGAGAAAGAGATAGAGAGAAGGGTGCAACAGAGGCTGAGAGAGGAGGAAGCGAGGTTGAAGGAGGTCGCGTTGGCCTCTCAAGGTCAGCAAGAAGCTGTCGGGCACGAACAAGGGGCAACAGATGTGCCAGAAACAGCGACTGACGGAGAATCGAGCGATACATTGGCAGCAGCCGCCCAAGAAGCGCAGAAGGCGAGCCGCTGGGATTCTAAGAGGAGGGCTAGTGGCCAGAATTCCGTAGATGTACGCGATCTCGGGGGGGATAAATCGGAGAAGAAAGGAGAGAGTGAGGAGGAGCAAGAGAGAGACAGGATCGGAGAAAGCGAGGGTAAGCAAGAGGGTGAGGAGAAAGGAGAGAATGAGGGAAAAGGAGAGAGTGAGGAGGAGGAGGAAGATAATCACCCTGAGGTTTTCATAGAGACTCAGAGCGGTTGGTGCAAGGACATGAAGGGCAACATGTACTACGCCAGGAAGTGGGAGGAGCTAGCGGTGGGCTGGCACGAAGACAAGCACGGCAACAAATACTTCGCCCACGCCATGGACCGCGAGTCTTACCAGGAAGCTATTGAGGGGCTGAGGGAGGAGATGAGTGAGAGGGAGAGGGAGAGAGAGGCGTGGAGGTCGCGGGCTCGCGGGAGAGGGTACGGCAGGGGGCGGGGGAGAGGTTTCTTCCATGGCTACGGGGCCAGGGGCAGGTTTGAATTTAACAGGAGGTCGCGGTCACCCAAGAAGTCACGGTCGCGATCGCCCAAGAGGTCACGCTCTCATAGAGAGAAAAGGTCACGCTCCAGACATCGTCGAAATTCTTCGCCTTCGTCTGTGAGTGACAGTTTGAAGCCAAGAGGCTCACCTCGTTCTAGGCGGAGCAAAGATGGCCGCAGCAAAAGCTCCGATAAGAAGAAGGCTGAAAAGATTTCTGCGGTAGCTGACAAGTCGGTCAAGGCCGCCGATCATCAAAAGTCTGCGGAGCCGAGCGGTAGGACAGGAAGTGGAGGGCCTGAGGTGGCTGACCCACCAGTCGCAGACCGCGAGGACGAGACTGGTGTGCAGGAAGAAGAGACGGAGGTCACCTTTGTCGTGGGGACAAGGGGAGACAACAAACTGTTTGCTACAGCTGATCTACGAGAGGCGTCTCGGGAACAAACTGACGACTGGGACGATGTTGAAAACGAAAACTGGAGGGAGAAAGTCCCGCTTAAGTCGGCTCTCAAGGTCACTCCGGCCTCCCGGTGGGATCGGATGCCAGGGGTGGGTGAGTCGGGGGGCCACTCACGGTGGGCGGACGACGCGAGTGTGGGGCTGGAGACTGACGAAGTGGGAGGGAAAACTTCCGAGGAAAGTCTGACAGAACTGGAGAAATTTCTGAGAAACTTGAAGCAGATGAAGAAAAAGCAGTGGATAGCGGAGGGGAAGGTGAAAGAAAAAGAATGAAGAATGTTTATGGATCAAGAATAACGTCTGGTGATGGAATATGGATCAGAGGGACTCATAACAATCAACACTCGTGCTTGTTAAGATAGCGGCCTCGTTAATGAACTCTGAAATTTTAAAACTGACGGTAAATTTTGCTGTAAAATGTCACAATTAGCAACTTCTTTAACTCTTACGGTACCGTTGGCAACTTCAGTCACTCACTACCGCTGGCGACTTTAGTCGCTGACACAAACAGGCACACTAAACATAATTAACCAACAAATGGACGCACTGCACTGAAGTAAATACCAAAAGAAGTCACTCTATGTATGATAGCTGAATGCTTGATGAACCTCTCTGAATTTTTAAAGCTTATTCCTTGGGTTGCCAAGGTTTTAAAAAATTAGAAACAGCTAAATCAAAGAAAATCAGATTGTCCCCCCACAGAATTTGGTGTGTAAGCAAAGGCCAGTCTAGGGCCTACTGGTAATTGTCTGTTGATTCTGTAGAGTGGCTGACGATATCATGAATTTGTTCAGTTCCACTCGTATCTTGTTTTTCTGTTTGTGTCGTGCAAAATGTTGGATATGTTATAAATGGTCAATTATCATTGCAAATGTGAGAATAGTTGATTTGTGTTAAGATATTGATGAGTGGAGGAGACTGTTTTAAATTTTTCTTTTTTTTTTTTTCCTAGGTAATGAGGGTGCTTGTGTGGGCTATGAATGACGTGAAAGAATTAATTAAAGAAGTGGCCATTATCTCATCTGTCTCTCTTTGTTGTTTTTTAAATTTTATTTCCTTGTTTGAGGAGGTAGGCCTATTACAATTACATATTTAGCTGTTGTCTGTCCTTTTAAGTGAGTTGTCGGCGGGTGCTCTGGTGTGGTTTGCTTCTTCTTTCCTATCAAACATCTATCATCCTGATCTCTCCTCCTTCGTTTTTGGGTTTGTTACTCTCTTGTAACACCTCTAATCTTCGGCACTTTTGTGACCTTATACTTATTGTGTTGTAAGTGCCCTATAACTCGTACTAAAACTGAACTGTTCTTTTTGTGATTAAAAATACACAGGCTTAGAATGCGATCCTTATAGAAGTGCGCAAATGATCTTCAAAATCCAGCAAGAAAAAGAGTTGCCAGAGTGATTTTGTTAATTTGGATACTCACTCAGATTAAGATTTGGATGTTGTTATTGTTCCGATGGGACGTAGGTGTCTTCTGTGACTTACTGAGTAACTTACTATCACATTTGAGAAATGAAAATTTTCATGCGTTGTCAGGCTGCACGTTTGGCTGCTAGAGAACAGTCATACTAAACTTGATAAAAATTTTGCCCCACTTGAGGATTGAACTCTTGTCTTTTGCGTGCAATGACAAAGCATCTATGTACTTACAACACACCCCCCAGGGCAGTGCCACTGACTGAAGTGTCTTTAGGCCATTCCCAAAGGCGGGATATTAACATGTTCTTATGCTCAGTAGAATTGTAAATGGGCTGATTTATCAATGTCATGCTCATACTATGCCGGAACAACATAGGGGGAACTGCTGCTTTTTCTTTCCTCATCCTTACTATGTGGGTGGTTGGCGGGTGCTCTGGTGTGGTTTGCTTCTTCTTTCCTATTAAACATCTATCGTCCTTATCTCCTCTATTCTTTTTTATGTTTGTTACTCTCTTGTAACACCTCTAATCTTCTGGCGCTCATATGACCTTATGCAGTTGCGAGTGCCGAAAAACCTCTACTAAAAAAACTAAACATCATCCTTACTATTGTCATTTTACCTCTACTTCTTTTGTATATTGTTTGTCACTCTCTTGTGAACTGCTATTTCCGGGGTGCCTTGATAGTCGAATCAGACTTTGTGCTGTTGAGGCTTGAGAGGTGAGCAGAGTAAGCCTGATTCCCCGTTTGGACTTCTCTGTTGACATCCACCCCTTGGCGCTCATATGACTTTATGCAGTTGCGAGCACCGTAAAACCTTACTGAAAAAAACTATACTTGATAAAATTTTTGCTCCATATTGAAACTGAACTCATGTCTACAACATGCAATGACAAAACGTATACGGTACTTGCTGCACCACAGAATGTCCCTCTCTTGCATCAGTTTTGTTTGTTTGAGTAAAGAGAAGCACATCGACACAATAATGGTTATTTAGTGCTGGGAAAAAAGTAAGACAGACAGAAAAAACAGAGGAAAAAGTACCGAAGTAGGACCTACCACCCCCCCACAAACACGTGTTGCATAATACTAATACAAAGGGAAAAAAAGGATGATTGAAATGGATGTACAGAAAAGTGGGAAAACATGGAATTGCATCTAACTAAAGGCTAGCCCAGGATAGGGAAAGGTGGAAGGTGTTTGTTGGTGGCCTATACCCTGGTGCAGGGTGAGAAAGACTGTGAATATGATGGTGATGGGCTGGGAAAAGGTAGTAAGAATCGTCCTGTTTGGACTGAATCATCTTCTACTTCTTCTAGTTCTAGCTAAATCTAGGCTGTAGATCTAGATGTCTATAGAATAAACTCAATCGTAAACACGATCGTCTGATTACTTAGCTTGCTTGGTTCCGTAGCACCAGGTAGATAGATCTAGTATAAAAATTTGTGAAAGACTTAGTCTTAGGCCAGGATGCTAGATCTAGACATGGATCGATTCATCCAGAAAACCCCTAAAGGGGTTGTTCAAATATAATCTTACACCTGGAAAAGGCCTAAAGGGGGGG